CAACCCCTATTTGAATCACTTTCGTAAAATCCTAATGGAACTATGTGAAACTTGGGTCATAAGTTAGGTCAAAATCCTGACCTAAAATGTCTAAAATTTCACTAAGTGTTTAGTTTCATGACCATGACTTCATGGATTAATAACTTGAGATCCAAGCATTTCTAGGAGAAGTTGTGTAAATCAATGTTGTAGATCTTATGGAGATATAAAAATTTCATGTTGAAAGTTTCTTTTGAATCATCTTGCATCATGGTGAAAAATTGGCTCAAAGTTGTGAAAAAACATGAAGTTTTCAACACTTAGAAAAATTTCTAAGTTTGAAAACTTTGACTTTTTAAAATGAAATCTTAAATTTTTGATTTTTGATGAACAAATTTCATATTTTGACATGTTTTGATGAATTGTGATCTTTGACACTTGATTTTGACCAAAAAGTCAAAGTTTGACTTTTCAGTGCACAATTGACTTTTGATCAGTTGACTGAAAATCAACTATCAATCCAATTGATCTTGAGCAATATTTTGAGTCATATCATTAGGTAAAAATGATGCAATTGAACTCTTGAGATCATGCCTCAAACCAATTAACCATTTGCTAGGTCAAAAATCAGAAATTGCCCTTTCTCAGTCAAAACCCTAATTTTGACCATTTTTCCCTTTTGATGATTTGATCAAATTTCTTGAGGAATTATGGTCCAAGCTTGATCAAATTATGCATATGAGTTTATAATGTTGATGTGGATCAAAAATTATGAAGTTTGACTGTAAATTGGCCATAGTTGACTTTTTCCTTAATACAATTGATTTTTAGGTCAACTGCTCAATTGACTGAGCAAAAATGTGATCCAAGATTTGAAACTTGACATGAGTAATCTTGGGGGTCCATAATGATACATGAAAGTAATATGAGGCATTAAAAGTCCAAATGTCCTTGTGCAATTCAAACCCTAATTTTCAGTCATCAGTGCTTGAAGAGGTGTCTTGAGCTGATCAACCCTAGTGCAGTCTTGAACCAAAGGAGATCTTGTGAGAAAATATTTGATAAATGAGAGAGAAATTTTTGGGATACAACATCCACCAATGGTGCTTTCATTATTAGCCTCTCATCAGCCTTATATACCTTCATCTAATTGTTCTCCAACTTCATATTGAAGCCCTTTACAAGTAATTGACCTACACTTATCAAGTTACTTGTCATCGAAGGTACGTATAGAACTTCAGTGATAATAGCCTTTCGACCATCCTTTCTGATAATCGAAATATCTCTTTTACCATATGATTTGATATGCTTGTCATCTACAAACTTTATCACCTTTTTGACTGACTCATCTAACTTGGTAAACCAATTTTTATTGCCAGTCATGTGGTTGCTACATCCTGAATCCATATACCATATGTTATTTTTCTCAGTAGTCGACTGGGTGTTCACAAGCAACAACACATCATCAGAATCACTATCTCCAGCTCGTGCATATTGAGCTTCATCACTATATTTCGACTTCGCAGCTTTCATTCTTCGACATTCTCTAGCATAGTGGCCAAAACCTTGCCAATTGTAACATTGCACCTCTTTCGTGTCAACTTTATTCTCAGAATAATACTTGTTTCCCACACCATTTGAATCAGTATTCTTGTTTGAATTCTCATCACCGGTAAGATTCTTTCGCTGCTTCGACTTCTCTTTTCCAGCTTTCTTGCTGAATCTTGATTGCAATGCTTGTTCAGCTGCCTTCTCTCTTTCTGAGTTTCTCTGTTGCAACCTCATTTTGTGAGCCTCCAATGAGGCTTAAAGTTCTTCCAACTTCATCTCAGATATATTCTTGGCCTCTTCAATTGTCACAACAAAGTAATCAAAGTATGCAATTAAAGATCTCAATACCTTTTCTATCTTTTGCAGATTCGTACACGCTTCACCACATGCCTTCATCTGACTTCTTAGCGTCACAACTCTTGAGAAATATGCAGAAATAGATTCATCATCTTTCATCTAAAGCACCTCGTACTGCTTCCCCAGTGTCAGTAACTTCACCTTCTTCAGTTTCTCATCTCCACCATACAAGGATTTCAGCTTTTCCCAGGCTCCTTTTGTTGTTTCTTCTTCAATTATCTTCTCGAATACGTCACAATCCACACACTGGTGAATCAAGAACAACACCTTGCCATCTTTCTTTCTCTGATCTTTGTGCGCAGCTTTCTGGACTTCCATAGCAACTACTTTCAGTTCTGATATTCCATCATTCAAGATTTCTACGACATCTTGTAATCTGAAAATAATCTTCATTTGCGCAACCCACCGTTGATAGTTTTCACCTTTGAAAATCAGTAGATTCGCTGAAAACTGTGTTGACGTTGTTGATCCGTTTGTCATTAGATTCTCTGTGAATCACAAACAAGCTCTTGATACCAATTCGTTGGAACAAAGGATTTAAGAAAGATTATTTTTAGAAAACAAGAAGAAGAAGATGTGTGTGTGTGTGTGTGTGTGTGTGTGTGTGTGTGTGTGTGTGAGAGAGAGAGAGAGAGAGAGAGAGAGAGAGAGAGAGAGAGAGAGAGAGAGAGAGAGAGAGAGAGAGAGAGAGAGAGAGAGAGAGAGAGAGAGAGAGAGAGAGAGAGAGAGAGAGAGAGAGAGATTGTGAGTTAGTTAAGTGTAACTAACTTTCTAACTGAATGTATTATTAATGCTTCTCTTTATTATAAACATAATGGCTCTTTATATACGCAAAGTGTTCAGGCCCAAATACAAATGTTAAAAGCCCAAATATAACTGAACAAGAATTATACAACTAACACTTATATTATAGATGTGAAGAAAAAATAAGTTAATAAAAGCTATTTGTCTAATTTGGTTATTACAACTCATATAATTAAAGATCGTAATAATATTTGATATTCTGAAATCTGAATTTGAATTATTCCTTTGTAACTAATTATTTCTTCTGTTTCAAAATGACTGTCGTTTTAATATAAAAAATTGTTTTAAAATGACTGTCATTTTTACTTTTTAATATAATAATGATTACTATTTTTTCAATTATGTCTTTTACTTTTTACTCTCTATATTATTTCCAATACATTAATAAGATTAATTTTGTAAAAGTGTAATGTCTTATGACACCATCATTGCATTCCTTAATTTGTATATAAAATCCTTAAGCGACACTCATTTGACAATTAATATCTATATATAGTCCATATATGAATTACATACATTAACTATCGAATGTGCCAAAAATATCAAATTTATTTATAATTCGTTATGGAGACAGTATACTATAATAATAATAATAATAATGCATTTCAAAATAGAAATGACTTCAGACAAACCAGAGTCTACTCATAATTTGTTTATAATGTTTCATAATAGAAATGACTTCAGACAAACCAGAGTCTACTCATATTTAGGTAGTATATTAGACATGTGACTCCATATATAAGAGGGGTGAATTATGCATTTCAAAAAACTAATTTGAAAAATTTTTATTATTATTTTTAGAGTTTTAAAATATTATAAAAACGTCTTAGAATTTAGCATATGAAATTAAAATTATGAAAAATAAAAAATTAAGGAAAAGAGAAAAGACATCACAAATTTGATCTTATCTTCAAGATTTGATCTTTAGAGTATCCAGTATTGCTTAAGAGTTTTTAGTATGTTAAACTCTTGAATTCCTTTTTACAAGAAAAAATGAAGTTTTAGACTAACTTCCAGCCAAACAACAAACAATAGAGAGAAGTGGTTAGTCTTCCTTTCAAACACAAACTTGTGAAGAGAAGTTAGTCTTCCTTCCAAAAAGCGGATTGAAGCAGTTATTCTTCCTTCCAAATAACGGATAAGTCTTCTTTCTAAACAATAACTGAAGCGTTTAGTCCCCAAATTAAACATATATTTTCTATGGACTTTTACCAAACCAAGAGCTTTTGACTAGACTGACTCACGAACCGAATTAAGGTTTTTACTAGACTAACCACAAACTAAGATGAGATTTTGAATCAGACTTATCTCGAACTATAATGAACTTTTAAACTGAGCTTAACTCACAAACCGTATTGAGATTTTACATAAATATATTCAAACTAAATTCAATTCTGTTAAAATCAATTCTAACAAACTCAATTTTGTTATAATTAATTATGTCCACCGCCAAATCAAACACATCCATAGATTTAATATGTGGAGTTTCAGTTTTTTTCTTTAAACCATGTAAGGTTTGTAAAATAGCAGTTGCTTTATTGAATTCAATAAGAAAATCTCTCTCAATCAGTTCTAATAGCTTTTTCTAAGTACTGTTCCTACAATACACAAGTATATATAATATCTTAATTTTTGAGAAGTATTTTCATAAAATAAACAATACTCCTATCTTTGTTTTTCAAACCTCTTATTTTGGTTTTGAGAATAATTTTAATTGTATTAAAGACTTCTTTAAGATAACAAACAAAATGCATTTATGTTTTCAAATACAGAACGTGATACAAAAGTCAGCAAAGAGAAAAATTTATAACCAACTAACAAACAAAACATGAGTTAGTTAATCAGTTTGGCAGTTAGTTAATCAGTTTGGCAGTTAGTTGGTTGCACAAAATCCAAGAACACTTTCTTCTAGTTACCTTAACTTCCTTCTCTCTCTTTATATATATACACACTAGCTAGCTTAACTATTCATTCATAATTTTTATCTTCAAGTGTTCATACCATATTCATCACTGAGAAACAAAGTAGAGTGACTGAAAAGGCAAGTGCAACTGCAACTGCAACATTATCTTGAAATATTCTTGCATATTTAGCAAACATGTCTTTATAATGAAATTTACATTCTTTTTTTTAGAGATTATTACAACCAACTATTCATTCATTCATATTTCCTCAGAGAAGATCAAGAAAAGAAATTTCCAATCTCTCTTAGGTAATGTTACTGCTACATTGATATTCTGAACTGAACTGATAGACACTTACGAGTTTTATTGTGTAGCAGAAGTGGTAATTAAGGAGCTTTGTGCAATATGAAAGATCAAGCGAAAGGGAAAGGGTCAATGGAACCTCAAGACTCAGCTACTGAATTAACAACGCTTATTGTAGAAGATGATAAGCTTGTTAGAATGATTCATCAAGGTCTACTGAAAAGAGCTGGTGTGAAAAGTGAAGCAGTAAAGAATGGTAAAGAAGCCATAGATATTCATTGTAGTGGTCAAAGTTTTGACATTATTTTCATGGATAAAGATATGCCTATCATGAATGGGATTGAGGTACGAGGTTGAGAATTAATTATTTCAAAGCATTATTTACCTTGATTCAGTTTTGCCTATGAATTTTGTTTTGAAGAATATGAAAATAAGAATTACATTATAGGTATCTTTTTTTTGGTTAAAATGTATGCTGTATTGCATTTATACTGAGATTGATTTTTTTTCCATGCTTTTTATGCAGGCAACCAAGAAGCTCCGATCAATGGGTATTGAAAGCATGATTGTTGGTGTGTCATCATGCAATAGAGAAGCAGACAAACAAGAATTTATTGAGGCAGGGCTAAATGACTATCAAGTGAAACCATTGAACCCTGATGTGCTTAGGTCGATTCTTGATGTTGTAAAAGCTAGCAAGTAGCATGGCCTCTTGTGGATGATGTACAAAGTTAAGAGAAACGTGGTTTTTACTTTAGATAGTTTCTTTTAAAAATGTATACGAATAATCTTTAATTCTCAATTGTTAATTCAGTATTGGAATAATTGAAGCTACTCATAAGCTGGTTGTGCAGACAAAAACTCTACTATAATCCAAGCATATATATCTTAGTTTTCAAAACTAAGATTATAGGATTGGAATACTATTTCAAAATTCAATTTTACATATGACAAAATGTACAGATATTAATCCTGCTCCAAGAAAATCCATAAAATTTTGTAGAGCTGCCAAGTTCAACATCTTCTCTCGCGGCTGTGTTAACTAAGCTTTGTCCCGGTGCCGGGAACGCTCGACTTTGCATGTTCGACTTGGAACAAGTAACCACTACTGAGTTCTGAGTCACTCTTGTCTGCAGTTGTTACTTCTGCATTGACCATCTATGGTGCCAGAAATTGTAAAATTCTATAACTCATTTCTCTTCATCCTCAGAATCTGATTTCGCAAACAATGGCTCAGGTTGAGTTTCAGCATATGCTGGAGCTATGAACTTTGGTTCCTTTGCTGCAACATCAGCATATTTTAGGATAGCTTCCCTTGGATCTTCATCCATCCATGTCTCCTTAATCAAACCTCCTTTCTGCAGTTACATAAAAATATAACCTTCAACTGTCTAATCTAAAGCATGAAGACTGGGAAATCAAGAAAATATAATGAGAAATACACACGAACCTTTAGAAGATACTGGGTCAGTAAGCTTCCTTGACTTGTACCAACTCGTCCACCAAAGCCAGGTCCTGTCATGGGTAGTTCAGGCTTATGTGACTTCAATGGATCCTTTAATACCTTCTCTCGCTGACGCTTGCGGCTTGGCTGATCTCTAAATAGAGGTAAAGCATGAGGATTGTGAATAACAGGATTTGCCTCAAAGTCATCAACTGATTTTTTCCTTGGTGCACGAGCAACACAAACAAGAGCTCCTCTCTCACTGATGGTTGGATCATATAGTATGTGAGTCCCTCCTTGGCTTTTATCGCCAACAGTTGCGAAGATCTATACGAAGAAAAGTAAGTTCAAGAAGTATTTATAAGCACATGCAACATATTGTTTCAGAAAATGCAAAATGACACCAGAAAATTATTGAGAAACATGACCAATAATTACCTGATTCAGTTTAGGATGCCAAGAACACTGAACAACACTGGAAGTGGGGGATATGCCAACTTTTGAAACAAGTTCAAGATTTACTCTATCAAAGAAGCATAATAAACCTCCTGTTGAGCTATCCCTTTCTAAAGATGTTCCAGTAAAAAATAGTTGCTCATCTGGACTGAAGCCAACATTTGTTTGTCCATAGTGATTTGGCAGTTCTTTAAATACCTTCAATGCTTCTTTTGTTTTGCGCAGATCCCAAACCTGCAGCATAATTCATTGGTCAATTAGGATATGTCACGAAGATTAGAAAATTGTTTATGCAGGCCTAATAAAGAAAGAAAACCGCAAGCTATAAGCTATGATTTTAAGTATGCGGTCATTTATTTACCTTCAATGAATCATCAAAGCTCCTTGACAATAAGATTCTCCCATCAGTAGAAAATTTCAGACTAGTAATATCATCCTCGTGACATTTTTCAATATGTATATCCGGCCTACTCCCCCATCCAGGTTTAATACTCCAAATCTGTGAAAATTAATTGAACATCCAAAGCAGCATAACAAGTTACAAGAATGTTAAAGCTAAGTATAACTTAAAAGTAGCATAGATGTTGACCTTACTACCCAATGTCAGTGAGAAGGATTTTTACCTGTATAGAACCATCTCCGATACCACCACCAATGCATTTACCATCATGATCCCATGCGCATGTGGTGACAGGAACTCTTCCAGGTCTCGCAAGCTTTGGTTTAATGACCTATCATTGAACAATAGCAGCATGATTTCAATAACATCATAGAAGTGGAAAATATAAATTTGTAAGTTATAGACTAAATTATCATATCTCTGCCCAGAGACACAAAAACATCTATATACTTTTAGTCAAAATGCAGAGATGCATATTCTCTCAGTGTCATTGGATGGAAAATGGACACTTGGTCAATTAGGATATATCAGTTAGCTGTGGTTGTAGTTACTATCAGATGAATGAATCACTAGTTTCATTTCAAAACATGTACAAAGCAAAAAGCATGTATACTCTTAAACATAAACGAAACAATAAGATTTTATTATTAATACATAGTTGTGGTTTGCCCGCATTTTTGTGCGGGGCGGGCCAAGGTTTTAGGCTCGCACTCTTTAACGTGTCCGCCCCGCCCCGCCCCATTTTTTTGCGGGCGTGGGCATTAACTTAAATTTTTGAATTTTTAGGCTTAAAAGTTGCAATGTCTGCGGACCCACCCCGCCCTCACTTTTTTGAGGGGGCGGGGCAAGGTTTTAGACCCGCACCCTCAACTATGCCCGCCCCACCCCATTTTTGCGGGCTTTTGCCGGGCGGACATGCCCGTTTGCCACCCCTATTCATACATCAATAGTCCAGGGTAGAAGAGGGGTATTATTATAAAGATAATGCCAATTACTTTTTTGAAACTTAAAGCAAAGTATCAGGATAGTATTATACACAAACGATTGAAGCAATAGATGTAAAAACCTAATTATAATATTTTGCAAGAAAAAAATCCCAAAATATTAGCAGTCTATACCATAAAAATCACACAAAAAGCAAAATAAAAATCACACAACAAAATAAAAATCTCTATGCACAGAACTACTACAGGAAAAATATGCTTTAGAAAGAAGAGTAAGGTGAAATTTCCAAACCTGCTTCTGACTTGTGAAGTCATTCACATCCCATATGCGGAGCGACCCATCCTCAGATGATGTTAAAATAGTCTCCTTATTTTTTGGGTGCCACTCTCCACATGTCAACCCAGTTATATGCCCCTTGGTATTCTTTAGATCACGAATATACATGTCTCCCTTTATAAACTCGCCCAAAGTGAGGCCATCGCGATCATAAATCTGCAATGCAAGGAAAAGAAAGTCAAGCAAAGCATAAAAAATGAAAAAAGAAAAAAAAACTACTAAAACATGAAAGAAACAAACAGAAAATGATGTTAGATTCTTAGCTACCTTAGCTTGAGCCGAACCGGTCACACACAAAAAGCGGTCTGCAGTTGGACTCCAGCTTAAATTGCGAATTTGATGCCCTTCAGATGGCTCGAGTTGTCGAAATGATTGCAACCGGGAACTCATTCCTTGAAAGTCATACATACGAACCATATAGTCATAGCTTCCAGACAGTACTCTGGATCCAGAGTGATCCACAGCAAGAGCTGATACAACCTGTTAATAGTTCCCCAAACCTCACCATTAATTAAAACATATTATAAACTGCAACTGATTTCGAAACAACCACAGCTAACCAACATAATAAGCAATTATGCTATAAACACTTAATTATGAAGGAAGAGAATACCTTTGTATGGCCTTTGAGTACAATCTCGTTGCTAAGCGGAATACGAAACCGGTTTCCGAGTAAGTCTTGATCAGAATCCTCGTCGGAATCGGAATCGTCCAGATTGGAACCAGGTGGCGGCGGGGGCGGGCCAATCATGTCACCGTCATCCTCCTCCTTCTCGTCATTATGTGGTGGCGGCGGAGGAGGTCCGACGAGGGGAGAATCGTCGTGAAGAGGAGGAGATGGTGGCGGAGGAGGAAGAGGGGTAGGGTTCTTGGAAGAACGAACGGATTGAAGCCATTGTTTGGAAGAGGAAGAAACGGAAGGAAAGTCGTTGGCGGTTTTGGAATTGGGAACGGAACGACGAGTGGCGTTGTGAATGGTTTCGAGAGGAGTTTGAGATTTGGATTGTTTTCCGAAGGAAATAGGGAATTCAGCTCTTGCACCGTCGTATATCTCACCGTCCTCCTCCATTTCTTTTTCCTTTTTTTACACAACTATCACTAACACTTTATGATTACAATTTACAGTCTCTCCTTATTCTTTACGGACTAAAACTAAAAACTAAAAACTATAAATTAACCTAAATTTGGGACTCAAACGCAACTAACTTTCATCATGTCCTATATCTTTTTAGCACTCAATTAATAACTACTATGGAAATTCAAAAACAATCTCTAAGGTAATAAAATATATGATTAAATTTTTTTTTTTCTCCTTATAAATTATCAATTTTTATTTTTTTATTTTTATAAAAAAATAGATATGTTTTAGTTTACGTAGTTTTAATTCTTGCAATTAAATTAATGTGTATCTTTGAATGATTATTTTATAGACTTTTTTTTTTGTTATAAAGAGAGATGAAGCTCGAAAAAAACTAAAATAGAATGATCTAAGAAAGGAGGTTCCCTTCTGATCCATTTCAACAAAACGAATAATGTAATCCGTAACAAGCTCAAAAAAATCTAAGAAACTAATATTCTCAATTCCAACTCTTACAAGTGCATTCGCACAGTAGTTTGTTTCCTTAAAATCATGAGATACCTTCCCCTCATCATGACCATCCATCAACTTGAAAATATGAAGAAGTATGCTATATACATCCACATCTTAACTTGTCTAGTTTCCAACAAGTTAACAATAGGCTTACAATCAGCACTTAACACAACTTTCATTAACCCAAGTCTTTTAGTAATCTTTAACCCTTCAAAGATTCCCCATAACTCTGCTCGAAACGCACTGCAAATCCCTAGCTTCTTGACAAAGCCACCAATACTCTTCTCAAACATGTCACGAACAATGCTTCCACAACCAGCAGCCTCATCATTCCTTCTAGCTATTTGTGTTTAACTTCTCCCAGTCTCGTTGAGACGATTCCTGATCAGTGCATTTTAATGCACATTCTTCTACTATTGTATTTAGGAAATTCTATAGTTTATTTTAGTATTTTTACTATTTTAGTGTGTTTTATATTTAAGTTTATTTATGCCTTTAATTTAATTGTGTACTCTATTTTCAGCTTAAATAGTTAATTAATACCTTCTCATTGTGCATGCCATAACTTGAGCAACGAGAAGCAAATTGACGTGTTCTAATATTTGTTAGAAAGTTAAGAGAATAAGCTACAACTTTCATGTTGAAGTCAAAAGCTGATTTGAAGTGTAGAAGAGTCGGAAAAATTGTTTAAGTTCCAGACTTAATAAAATAATTACTTTTGGGCCGATTTTTATGTTTTGCGGGTCGGATGCTATTATGGCTCAATTTTCCTTGTAATATTTTAAACTAAAAACTCATTTTATTTGAGGCATTCTGAATTATAATGAGAAAATACAACTTGTATGATTTTCACATGGAGAACTAATCTCTAAGGAGAATTCTACTACTGGCAGGTTTCATGGCTTTGAGGTTATTTTAATTCCAATTTAATTTCGATTTCTGTTCAATTTCTTCTATGAACTCGTTTGTTTAACTCAGTTGCTTTCGTTTTCTTAATTTGGTTGCTGCTCGTATGATATAATTGATTAAATTTAATTATATGCATGTTCCTAATTTTAATCGCGTGTTAACCTAGCTTCTTCGTTAGCTTCGCCTAATCTTTAAATCGTCATACTTAATGCGGTAAACATGAACGTAATTCGCATGATATTGATAGTGTTTTTCTAATTGATTTTATAATCGAATGGGATCGAAGCCACTTAGGAGATTGGAGTTACAATATCCAATGATAAGCCAAAACCCGAATAAGTAGAATTAGTTATTTTAACTCATTTCATAATCACTTATCTTTAATCACTTATTCTAAATCAAAACATAAAACTCCACTCATTTCAGTTGGTTAATTTTAATCAAGAGTCCTTGCAATACGATACTCAAGTGTCGCTTCCGTTATACTGTAGTTATATTTTACTTGTTTTTGATCTGTGTGCGACAGCGAATCAAATTGGCGCTGTTGTCGGGGACTCTTTGATAATATTAACCAAGTCTAGGATCCTAGTTTTAAGTCTTGTTAGAACTTTTATTTTTATTTTGTGTTTGTTGATTTTTAGGGTTGCAGTACAGTGGTAAGTATTCCAGCCTATCAGGTAAGTTTGAAAGCTATTTTTTCGATTTGTTCCTTATTTTTCTATTTTTATGAATTTATTTTTGTTTTCATAGTTTCATAAAATTCTATAAAAAAATTTGTGAAATTCTAATTTGACTTAATTATATTAAATTTTGCGTTTTTGTAATTTTTTATATTCTATTTTAATCATTTTTTGTGTCTTACAATTGTCTCTGCTTAATAGGGATATTGTTGGTATGAAACATCCTGTTGAAGAACATTATAATTTTCACATTGAATAGCTTTCTGAGTTGGTTGATGATACTTATTCTAATTTGTTTTCAGTTGATTTTCCATCATTGTCTGACTTTGATGATCTTACTCTTGTGATTCATGTACTGTCAGTAACGTTTACTTTGTTACTGAGATTGAGGCTACCTTGCAGGTTGATATTGTTCTTACACGTGAAGTTGTCAATAAAGTTGTTTATGCATCTGAAGCTTTTGACATCCCTTCTTCCTTAATCACATCATCCATTGGACAACCACTTTCTTTAGAGCCTGAATCACTTCCTGGAGATTTAAATTATTCATCAAAGACTAAATTGGAGTAGGGAGAGAAATCATTGTAGAAACATAAAAAGGGAATCGGATGGACCTTGGCTGACATTCTTGATACTAGTTCATCCATATGTATGCATAAGATAGTTTTGGATGAAATAAAAGCAGTGAGGCAGCCCCTTCAACCATTGATCTTTGATGTTATTAGGAATGACATCACTTTCACATGCGTATTTGACACTTTTACTTATCAGAGAACTTTCTTTGATCCTGGAATAAAAAGCAAAGACACTAAACTAAATTTCAAGGTCAATGGACATAATCCAAAGCTACTTCATGAGAGCCACACTTTGGAAGGAGATAGTGTAAAAGAGTCCTCACTAAAAAATATTGTTTATGCGATCACATATCCCCCTTGACTACTCGAGTATATTCTTTCTTTTTTATCACTCTTATTTTATATTTATGTTCTTTCGTTGAGGATAATATGTGTATTAAGTATGTGGGAGCGAATCATTTACTTGTTTTGTGTGTTTTCTATTTGTCATTTACTTCTTTTTTTTAAAGTTTTAACATGCATGTGATTTCGTTGATTTTTGAGCTACAATTGTGAGTATCTTCTTTGTTATCTTGATTAAAGACTTGCGGTGTGATATAATTGATTTTTTGTGCATTCTTAGTATGTTAAGCAAGATTAAACTATAAATTGTGCATCATTTGTGGTAGATCATTGACTTTTATGAGATTTTGAGCTTAATAATGGATAACATTAAGAATCCATCTCTTTCTTTCTTGTGTGATTTCACCCATGTTTGTTAGTTTCTAGAACTTAATTTGATTCTTGATGAAACTTTTTGATTACTTGCACACACTGATATGATAAAGGAATCTTGTTTTTGTTTTATTTTTAACCACTTAGTCAAAAAGGCAACCCTGGATAATATCATCCCTTGTTTGAAAACCTTTGAGCCTATTATCTCATTCTTTGTTTAAAACTCATTACAAGCCGAAAAGTGAAAAAACAAGTTTATCACCCTATTGAAAGTGTTGAAAGAGTCTTATTTGGAGTTATGCGGGGTTGAATATTTATAGTTGTGATATTTGATTCAAAAAGTTGACAGGAAAAAGAAGAAGAAAAAAAAAGAATAAAAGAAAAAATATAAAAAAATAAAAGAAAAGAAAAGAATGATGTCAATACATATTTCTTCTAAAAATTGAAAAATGAAAGAAAAAAAGAATAAAAAAAGAAAAGAGAAGAGAAATAGCGGAAAAGTTATTGTTTGAAAGTGGATGAATCTAGTTCAACTCTCGCAGTACTTTCAATTTTCTTTTGAATCTTTGAGTTTTAGCCTAGTATCCCTTAGGGTTTATCACACTATGACTTTGGCTAAGTTATAACCCGAATAAAAGTCATTTTGATCTTCGTGTGCATGTACTTAAATTTTGGATGTGAGAGTCTTTTCAAGCTTATGGTAGTACTGATTTTCATGATGTGCTTTGAGTGTAAACATTCAACCTAAATACTTGAGAGTTGAGTGAATTTTATCTTGTGAGGATCTTACTACTTATGATGTACTCTCTGGTAAACTGTCTCTCTTATTTGCTTTGACTGTCACAAAAAAGTTACTTAGTGACATCATAGTCTTGAAGCTTAGAATTAGAAATTTTGCTTGTACTTTGTATCCCGAGAACCTTTGGAATTGCATGTTTTGCTTTGTTCTTGTTTTTTTTTATTTTGAATTTACAATTTTGTTCGGAGTGCAAAAGTTTAAGTGTGGGAGAGTTTGATTAGTATATTTTAATTACATTATTCTACTATTGTACTTAAGCAATTATATAGTTTATTTTAGTTTTTTTAATATTTTAGTGTGTTTTTATATTTAAGTTTATTTCTGCCTTTAATTTAATTTTGTACTCTATTTTCAGCTTAAACAGTTAATTGATATCTTTTAACTGTGCAGACTGTTGTACCCCAAAATTTGTGCTCTCATTTTATCAACATTTCTCATCACAAGGCTTTTGGAACTCAAGATCAAGCTAGGGTTTGCTCTGCTCAAGACATCTCCTTGCACTGATGACCTAAACTAGGGTTTGAGTTTGCACAGGGATTTTTGGACCTTCAATGCTCAAAATGACTTTCATACTTCATGTTGGACTTGTAACACCCCGTTTTTGATTAAATGTTGATTCGGTTATTTGAAGTAAAAATATTCATAATGATAAAATACTATTTTGAGTAATATTAATTTGGTGTGTAGTAATATTTGACTTTGTTTGATTAATTGACATGATTAGGTTTATATAGAATAAATATTATTTAGTGTAATATTGTTTAATAGGGTTATATATTATAATTTGAATTAAATAATTGT